CCAAGGTCTTCCCTTTTCCTGAGTCTTCTCTGGTCAGGTGTTGACCCGGGGTCCCTGTAGAAAGGAAAACCTTAACTGCGTTGAGTCACTTCCTATATAGTCTCTATCATTCAGGAATAGCTTCCTCTCAGTTTTCCTTAGTGGGAACCTGGCCTAAATGTGGCTAAAATAAAGGGCTTCTCTAAACTCGTGACCTAGTGTTAGACTGTGCATGAAGTCATTTCCCCAAGGTCACCTGCTCCTTCTGTACCTTCCCCACCAGAATCAGTTGGAAATGCTTAAGTGATACCGAAGTTCATTCCACAAATACTTTAGGTCTCCCACGTGCAAAGTTCTCATTAGACCCTCAGGAACATACAAACATGAATAATTATGAGTTAATATTTGTGAAGGACTTAGAACAGTGCCTAAGAGTATTGTTGTCGGAAAGTGGGCCCTTTTCAGCGCGAAATCCAGGTCCTTGGCAACTCGAGCAAGGAATTGAACGAGATGCCAGAGTAAATCGCTGAAAAAGTAGTTTATTCGAATAGGTAATACATTTCAAAGAGTAGAAATAGGCCCGAGCAGTAGAGAATAACTCAAGGGCCCATTATTAGAAAAGAAATTACATTCCAAAGAGTTTGGAGTGGGCCATGCACAAGGGCAAGGCTCAAAGGGCTCGAAAAGGAAGAAGCGCGTCAAGAGAGCAGGGCGTCCAAAAAGGAAAAAAGGGGAAAAGGCTTGAACGGTTCAGGACTTGGGGTTTTTATCCCTTCTCTAGAATGGGCTGTTCCCCTAAGGGCGTGGGACCACTTGATTGGCACCTCTGATTGACAAGATGTACTGCGCAGGTGCGAGTGACTGGTCTGATCTAGTTGTACCCATTTGTTTTAGCGGTAGATAGTTACAATGAAAAGAAGGTTTGGGTGGATAGGGGAGGTCACCGGGTGGTCACATTCTGTGGGACATGCAGGAATGCAGAGACCCAATGTCTGCCTCTATCTGCCTACCTAACCTTCCCCTTGAGAAACGTGATCCCCATGAAATCTCTATGGGAAGTTGAGGGACAGGAGGTCTCTTCTGTATCTGCTTCCTGTTGGGCAGGGTCATAGAGCTGTCCCTGCCTATCGGGGGTTCACGGAACTCTCACCCTAGCTGATCTCAGAAGGAAGGAAGGGGTCTTGAGCTCCGCCTGGAAGACCGCATTGCTTCTTTGGTTGTGACCAGCAATCTTGTTGGGGTATACTCTGTATCCCCAAAGTCCCTGAATGAGGAAAAATAGATTTTAATTAATAAATCTGTTAGCTCTCATGAAGCCTGTTGCTATTCAGCTTGTTGCACAGGTGGCATCAGTTGTCTGGGCCCAGAATGGGTTTCGCATTTAACTTACTGGCCTGGGGGACATTAGGAACTCACAGGCTTTCAAATAGTTATCTGAAGCAGGAGACTTCTATTGTTTAGGATTCACAAACTGATTTACAAAGCAATCAAGAAGCAGGGGGATAGAATTTTAGAATTTAGGCTAGGAGCAATTTTTAGTCTAGGATTTACAAACTAGTTAGAAAAGTAATCAAAGCCAAGGGCTAAGAAACTAAGAAACTAGGGAGGAGACTTAACATTTCTATAGTTAACATTTCTATAGGAAAGAAAACTTAAAATTCTTTGGGGGGGTGGGGGCCTCTCTTGGCCGGTAACAGTACCATATATGTAAATTATATAATGCAGGGCTGCTCCCTACAAGGGGCTTACGATGTAGTTGTAGTGATAAGACTAAGAGGAAATTATTTCTACAAAATAAAAAGTGGTTATAATTGGGAGTAGAGAGTCACTGTTTAATGAGTATAAAGTTTCAGTTTTGCAAGATGAAAAGAGTTCTAGAGATGGATAGTAGTGATGGTTGCCCAAGAATATGAATGTACTTAATACCACTGAGATGTACACTTAAAATGGTTAAGATAGTAATTTTATGTTATGTGTATTTTCCAATAAAAAAATTGGGGTCATAAGTATGATGATAAGGGAGTGTGAACATGTAAAGGCAATAAATACCTAGGAGTGTTACCGGACAAGAGTCTGTCTGCTGCCCCAAGTACGCAGAAGCAAATAATGTGGTGCTAGTTTTTGAGAAAAGAAAGGAGCTTTATTTCTGAATGGATTGGCAAGAAAATGGGAGGCAAGGCTCAAATCTGCCTTCCTGACCCAGGGTTCGGGGCGGAGTTTTAAGGGATAGCAGTTTAAGGGTTCACAAGTGTTACTCGTGAGAGGCTTAAACTTCGGTTCTGGGTCTTGTTAAACAGGATAGGACCCGTCTGAGCTGGTCTATGGTTACAGGAGTAGATAGGAGTTATATCTTTGGACTGAAGTAATCAAATACTTCATTTAGGAAGTGGGATGTCATTGGGTCACGAAAGATGAGTTTGTATTTTGAAAAATAAATCTGAAGTTAATAAGAGAAAATAAGATTTTTCCCAGTATGCTTTGTCCATGTCTTGACAGCATGGAAACCTATCCTCAAGAATATATGTTAATACTAAAATTTCCTGTTTATGATGCCAATGAATGTTGTCTCATATTTCAATGATTTGTCCCATATTAAACAAAATGTTCTATGATTTAGCCTATGAAACTTGATAAATACTTTAGAGGCAACATTGTTCCCTCTCTGTTTCCTCTGAAACCGCATGAAATGAAGAACGCAGATGTTGGAGCTCTACTTGGCCAACAGCTAGAACTAATTACTCAGTGGTTAATAGCTTTCAGGTTGATGAAAAAACGTTCTAGCTCAGCTGATATTCGCCTATCTGAACATTAAAGTGATGCTGTAAAAGTATCAAAGATCTATTTTAATCTAGGTATTTGACTATATATGCAAAGTTATGAGACTATCAAATTGACTCAAACTCTCTTAATTAGGTATACAGCTAAAGCTACATTGTGAGGTGTTTTTTTTCCTTCCTCAGATCTCCATTTATCTGTGTGGTTGTGTGTGTATATGTGTTAGTGGAAATGAGTATTACTTACTTTTAGGACCCAAATGTAACACTGTCAAATTTTTCATATGCTTACAAATAAATTGCTACTGGTTTAGATTTAGTGGTTTCAGAATTTAATTTTAGTCACGTTTTCCATATAAGATGCTTTTTCCTTTTAATTAAATGCAAGTTACCTTTTATCACCCCCAGACACTTTGAATACTCCATAGCAAAAACAAGATTTGAATCACTTTTCTTAATCAATTCATATTTACACACCAATAATAACTTTGGCACTCAACACAATCTATACTAGTGCCCAAAGGAAGATGCCTATGAGAAAACTGATTATGCGACTTCATAGGGACAGAGCAATGAGATTAGAAAGTGTGAAATAAAACGTTAATTGGTGCTTTTGTAGGTTTTAAATAATTACTGTAAACATGAAAGAGTAATAGGAGAAAATAGTTTAAATGGTAGAATGCTTGTAACCAGATAAATTTATAAAGTGCCAATATTTTCCTTCAATGCCTCTCTTCCCATGTGGTACCTGGAAACTATGGGTTTCTCTGCAGCTTCCAGAACATCCAACAGGAGACCATGTTCCACCCAGGTTGGGGCCCCATTTCCTTATGCCCATCCTTTTCTTTAGCTCCTTTGATACTTGACTCAAGCTTTTTGTGAGAATCCAGCTTCCAGTTACTATTCCCTAAATCCCTTCACTTAATATTTCCTGACAGCAACCTTAGCCCACTTTCCAGCAACTCTCCTTCCCATCAGCCAAATCCTAGCCTCCTAACATTGCCACAGATCTGGCAAAACCACAGGCTTCCTACCAGTCTCACCTGTTTAGATTAGTCCATCAACACTCAAAGGCTTCCGAGTAAGAGGTTCTCTCCCTTCATTATATCTCACATAGCCAAATTCTGTTAATAGGTCCACCTGAATCTAATCTATCTGGACTTTTATTTCCTACCAACTTCTAGAGAAGAGATGAAAATGAACATGTGTACACATTTGCTCAATTCATATGTTAAGTAAAGTTAACCTATAGAATTTTCATCACTTGATTCAAAATTAGAAAGAGAATATAGAGTACTTTTAAAGAGAGCTTCACAAAACTTGAGTGTTGTGTTCATATTAGTCATTTAAGATGGGAAAATTTACTTCTCATGTCTGACAATGTATTTAAATTTTGCACATATATAGTATATCACAGTGGAAATTTAAGTAACTGAAAATGGAAAAGTGGATTATTTATTCAAAATATAGACTACTTACAGGTATAATTAATCAGAAAATATAAAAACTGTAAAACAAAGAAATAAACTACTGAATATAGGACCAGAAAGGATCTGGCTGTCCAAGCATCATATACAGCAAATGCTTAAGGCATTGTAAAGCAGCAGTAAGACACCGTGACGGTACTTAAGTGAAAATTTCTTGAGAAAGGCTAAGTTAATGTCTAAATATATTCAATAATTAGGGGGAAAAAACAGAGCTGGCGAAACAAAAGTAAAAAGAATTTAGGAATCCACATGTTGACCCAAGAATTTAAGAAAAGGTTGCTTGCTTGCCAGAAAAGGAGAAGATAGGTTCTTTCCATTTTGTCTCATTAAAAAAACATCAAGAAACTTTTGCATAATCCAAGATCACAATTTAGCCTTTATTTGTAAAGAATATTTAATTATTCAAGTTTGATAGCAATAAATCTTCAAGTTTAATGATCCGATCAGGCCGAAACATCCTGAGCAGAAGCAGTGCTAAGACACCAAGAAAAGGAGCCAAGGTGACTGACTGGCCATGGCCTTATCCTTACCAAGTGTCACAATTGCTGAGCGGGGAAGACACTGCCAAGTATGTGCCTGGTTGTGTTTGGGTAAGCCAATGCTGGTCTCAGAAAAATTATGGAAACAACTCTTAGCAGTCATTATTTATCTGACATTATGATTAG